TTGGGTACAATGTATAACTTCAAACTTAAAATCCATTTGAGCATGTCATCACTTGTACAAACTACATAGTCCCCTTCAGCTAAGACACTCAGGAAAAAAATTGAAGAAAAAGCAATTTCTGCATAATCAAAATGGTAAATGTTGATAAGGATCAGACTCTTCAACTAGGCAAATACATCACACCCATCAAAGATTAATGACCACAACAGATTATAGATTAATGACTTAAGCAACTGATCACTTAGGGCAGAGAAGGGATGTTAAACAGGACTAGAATAGAGATGATAGACAGCTTTATTGGACAGCTCAGGGAAGAGATGACAGAAAGCTTTACTCGCTTGCAATGAGACAGGGAAGAGACAATGAACAGGGCAGGGAAAGAAGAGACGAGGAACAGGGCAGGGAAAGAATGGATGACGAACAGGGCAGGGAAGAGTAGAGAAGGAGAAACCTCACATTTTCATCAGCCAAATAAGGGTATTTCGATCATTTCTCATTATATTAAAATGTCACTCAAGGACCTAGGGACTTAACTGGCCTTTTAGAATATTTTGGGACTTATCTTGAATAAAATTAGTCCTTTAGAACCTAATTGTCATTTTTTCAATCATAAATGAAGTTATTCCAATCACGCCAACTCCATCAATTCAATGCATGCACCTCGCCTCCTCCTTCTGACAATAACATCAGATGATTTCAATATTTTTTAGTTAATATTTTTCTTTTCTTGAACTCTGCTGTCATTTACAAGTTTATCATTTTATTATCATTATGTCAAATTTTCATGAATTACTTAAAAAGGAATACTAACGTTCTTCTTTCGGCAAACTTCATGATAATACTGGTTTAAATCCAACGCATCATTTCATGAATTTTAATATTTTCTTCAATTCTAAATATAAAAAAATAATAAGTTATTTATTTATCATCAATATGTCAAAATTGTTATTGTTTATTTGTTTGTATCCAATATTTCTCCCATAAATTCAATCTAGTATTTTGAAATAAAAATATAACGTGCGGTAAATATAAGCGTAATTTGAGGAAAAATAATGAAGCAAACAAAACTATTAAGGTCTGATGAGTAGGATTAAAACAAACTTTTCAACTAGTTTTTATATTTATCATCATTTTACTAAGTTAAATATAAAACCAACTTCACTATTTACAACCTTTCTGTAATATAATTTATAAAAAGTATATAACACTTCCTCCCTGATCCTTCTTATAAGTCCTAATTCTCACCATTCTTTGTCCTAATATAAATTTCAAGGTACGATTAATACTTGTTTAAAAAAGTGTCTCTTCTAAGCAGTTGATGTTTAAAGTATTATGAAATTAATTAAATAGAAGGTAAAAGTAAAAAAAAAAATTCTTTGATATTCTCTCCGTTAAAAAAAGTAAGACATTTTAATCAAATCTTACATCTCAATGAAGTAGTTATCTACTTTTAAATCAATCCTATTTTTTTATATTTATCTTTATTAAACACCTTACAATAAATATAAAGTTATTATCAATATGAACATTTTTAAAAAAATAATAATTATATCTTAAAAGATTAAAAATACTTTATATTTTTAGTATTTAATTTTTTAAAAATTATTTTATTTTTTTTGAGCGGACGGAGTATTTTTATTTACGTGTCTTCTAAACAAGAATTATCTTGATGATAAGCTCTACAACAAAAGCATATGTTGCAGTGTTAAAGGAGAATATATTGGGTGGCCAATATGATTTGAAACCTTTTCTAGAAACTTTTTCTAGAACATGGAAAAGTCCAAGTTGGGCGACCCCTTCATTTTAAAACGACAAGAATCATTATGACATGGCTGAACCTCGTTCACACCTATATTTTCTTCATCCATTATCACATTCCCAGCTACCTTTGAACTAACATGCATTTCCAGAACAACGGTGAAAATTAGCTTTTGTATTTTACAAATTGTTTTTGTTTTTCGCTCTTTGCATTTTTCTCAAGGTTTCAATTCAGTTCTAAACAAAAATATGGTGTATTAAAATTAAAAAAAATAGAATATAAAACATTTTATAATTATCTTTATATTGTATATCTGTGTTTTTTGACAGACTTGGCTTATCTCCATTTTTTTTCCTCTTTATTTTTCATTTTAATTGTTGGATTTATTTTTAAACAGTTAAAATTTAATGTTTCATAAAATTATTATTAAGAGAAAGTGGAGCGAAAAAAAAAAAAAAGAGAAACTGAGTCCGTTTTCCCCGGAGTGTCCTCGCTTGTCCCTGTAGACCCGTCTTCTTGGTCCTTAGCCTTCTTGTCAAAACGCCTTCAAGGACTCTGGTTACTGTATTGGTCACGGAGGGTATGTTAAAAGCCATGTTTTTAAAATCAGACCAGAGTATTAAATCAAAAAGTCAACTGTTCACAGTTTGTAGCGTCGATGGGTCAATGATCGAATTTGTAACCTAATAATTGAATAAAAACGATACTAAATATAAATATATACATATATATAATAAATACAAGAAAAAATCTATAATACATTAATAAAATAACAAAATGTGATTGTAAATTAATAATATTATAAATTATAATTTTATAATTTGTCAAATATAGATAGATCTTGTTTAAATTAGATATAAGTAAATTCAAAAGTATCTGTATTTGTATCTATGATTATCAACATCTTTATAAAAATGATCTCAAATCATATTTTATACATGTGAATTGTTCAAAAATAAAGTTAGCTTTTAGTAGAATTAAATTTTTTAAATTTTTCTAATTTTTTTTAATTTTTAAGCTTTTTTAACATTATATTTAAAACTACTCGATTTTCTAAAAATTGCTACAATTTTTTATTTAACTTCAATCCAATCTAGCTCAATTATGAAAATAATTTTTTGGTCCAAGCTGAGTTCTTTACAATTTTAGTAGACTGTTCGACTGGTTCAACTGTCTGGTTTTAAAATTATTGAGAGTATATGATGTAACAAGAAAGAATGATTGTTAATAGAATGAAATGAGATGAGGTGGGATGGAGTACAATGGAATGAAAAATTTCATTATTTAAAAACTTTTATTAAAGAAATAAATAATTTTATTTAATCATTATTGAAGAATGATTATAAAATTAATAGATTTAAATTATATGTAATTATATTTTTTTTTAATTTTACAATGAGAGAAGTGAAAGAGTGAGAGGGGGTGAAAAGGATGAGGGGAACGCATTCAATGAGCACCATGTGCTCATCGTACTTGGCTCAATCTAAGCCTTTTATTTTAATATGAAATAATCTCCACCATTTATTTAAATTAATTTTTAAATATTGTGTTTATTAATATAAAAATTAGAAAAAAAAAATTTAACATTGAAATTGGATTGCCTTTCGTACTTATTAAGGAATGAGTATCATGATATTCATCACCTCTAACAAAACCTAGATCATTTAAATTTAAAACTTTTTTAAAATAAAAATTTATAAAATTATAAAAAATTTAGTAAATCTACTCATTATTAATCTGATCAGTACAGATTTAATTCAAATAATTAAATTTAAAATTAATTTTTTAATAATTTTACAATTTGAGCATTCAGATGCACATTGAACAGTTCAGATATAATTTGAATAACCAAATTAACCATTTATATATGTTATAGATAACCTAGATTTAACATTAATTTTTTATAAATTTTATATTAATAAACAAAATATTTAAAAATACTTAAAAATTAATTTAAATGAATGACATAGATCATTTCAAGATAAAAGGCAAAAGCTCAACTTGAGCCACGTCTAATGAGCACGTGATGCTTATTACAAGCGATGAGCATCAAATGTAGATGCGAAGAATGAGAATAATTATATAATAGTGTTAGTTATATTATATTATTTTATTATTTGGAGGCGAAGAAAAATGAATTTAGGATGTCAAAAAAGGGCTTAGAAGGCTATCCCAATTCATTCCACTCTCTTTTGAAAACATTTACTATGGTATAATGCTTCTAACCATCTCATTTTATTCCATTCCATGTTAAAAAAAGTCCCAAACATTGTCTAAAATTTCTTACATGCAAATTTTAAAAAGTAAAAGGCATGTAAAAATACGGTATAGATGCTTGATGAAATTTGTCTATCATTTAAATTGCACTGAAATTTTAACTGTATTAAATGAACTAGTCAAATTATTGGATTAAATGAGGATAAAATGGTAGAAGTATTATTAAATATCGCTTCAAAATTTTAAAAAGAGAACTTATAACACGTAACAAAAATTTTACCTTAGAAAGCCCAATATAATGAAATGGAAGAGTAGTATACATTTAAGAATCCAATCCAAAATAACTTAAAAAGATGATCAGTCTTAAAAAAAATAGTCAAATTTAATAGTAAATCATTTATTGCATGAAGCTTGAAAGACGACTTCAATGATGAAGTTAGCAGCTCGGAAATAGCCAGACTTATTATATATAAATCATGTTATAGTATATTATATTTCTTTATCTTAATTATAAAATATTTTTAAATAAAATTGTATATGCCAATAAACCTAGTTACATGCAAAACTTTATTTTTTAAAAATAAAAATATAAATTTTTAAAAATATTTATTATTTAATATATTAAAAAAAGAATGGATGAAAAGTAGTCATAGAGAAAAAAAATATATTAAAATTAATATATTTAATAAAATTTTAATCTTCACAAAGTAATTTATATTTTAAAATGTTAATTTTTTTAAAATGTTTTATAATTTAAAATAAGTGAAGTATATATTTATATAAATGACAATGACTTCTCAACTGTGTCCAGACCCTAGAACCCAATGTAGCGTTTGTTTCAGTAAGTGGAGTAAATTCGACTAACTCTACTTGTTATCCAAATCACATTCCCTAATTTGTTGCTCTGAACATAAATTTCAATTTGAGAGAGTTTAATCATCCGATTTATTTTTAAATTATGGAAATTTACTTAATTACAACAAAATTGTATGTCCGGAGGAGGAATTCAACTAAGCTCAAAAAATTAAGAAGTGCTCAAGCTACATATGCTTGTATATTTATTTATTTGCTTCTCTCAGTGTTTTGCAAGGCTCAGATTCACAAAAAGGAACATCTTATTAGTGATCACAGCACTACACATCTAAAAGCAGAGTCACCATAAAAGAAGAAGAAGAAGCGTGTCTCAGGACCAGAGTTTGGATCCTCCAAAACCCTCCACAAATGATCATCCGAACGATCAAACAGCGTACAAGTGTGTCAGATCCCACTTCTGATTTATAAAATAAAAAGTTACAAAGCAACATATCCATGGCCTCCCTTGTTATCTAGAACTGATCAGCCACTTCAACCATCTCTTCCACCACAGAAGCCAACAGAGACTTCTTCCCACTGTTCCTCAGATTACACTTGGCTCTTATCTCACCCTGCTTCCCTGTCAAAACCCTCAGCTGACTCATCTTTATCATTGCGTTACCGAACTTCTCGAAGAACAACTTCTGGTCCAGCGCAAAACTCTGCACCAACTTCTTCGTCCGGGCATCGGAAAACAGGTCCTGATCCGACGTGAACAGTCCCTGCCGGTTCATGAGATCGATGTAGTACTTGTTATCGAACTTGTTCGGAGTTCGGATGTCGAGGTTTGCGGTGTTGGGCGTGGACGCGCTGGGACAGGTGGCCTTGAGGTTCTTCAGGAGGGTCTGGTCGATGGGAGCCGGGCTCGTGCCGGAGACGCGGTCCGAGAAGGAGCTGCAGTGGGCCCGGCCGAATGTGTGGGCACCAGAGAGGGCGACAACGTCCGTGACGTCAAACTTCTGGTCGGCGAAGGTCTTGATGGTGCCGGTAGTGTTGGCGAAGGGAGAGGGGAGGTTGCTGGTCTCGTCGAAGTTTAAGGTCAGGCTGTCTCGCCTTCCCAGCGGGACGGGGAAGTTGGGCCCTCCTGTCTGCCATTATTGCCACAAAATGAGAAAACATAAGCACAGAAGATCAAGAACAGATAAACCAATAGCTTTGATTAGAAACACTAAATCCAATCATGATTAAAAAAAAACATGAAATTACCAGGACAACAGCATCACGTCCGGCGAGAGCGACGATGTCGGCGCAGGAGACAACTCGTCCACATTTCTTGTGGACGAGAGCTCTGATGTCGTCGATGGTCTTCAATGCCTCCGTCCTAATGCCGCCGTTGGATCTGGAGTCTCTCTCGCTCTGATTGCTTGGCGGAATCGCATCCAGCAGTATGGACCCATCACATCCCTGCATCATAAACACATCAACACACAGCAATCAACAACTTTTGTCGCTCACTTACAAAGCAAGCAAGGAAGATCAGTTGAAACGGAATGAAAGGAAAAGGGGAGAATGATTGACAAGAGAAAACCCAGTTGCAGGAAGCTTATATACACCAACCTGGACAAAGCAATCGTGGAAGAAGATACGAAGCAGGGCAGGGGCTTGTCCAATGTCCTTCTTGAAGACGGATTTGAGATGTTTTGTGACGATGGATTCAACACTGGGACAGCTAGAATCATAGAAGGTCCAAGAGAGACCATTGACGATGGGAGGCTTGGATTGCGCCTTGGTGGCACACAAGTGGGAGGCCAGAAGGAGGAAGGAGAACCAGAGCAAAGAGTAAAGGGATGCGTTAGCCATGGGTACGTCTAATTTTCTCTCTCAGACCTGAGTGCGTTGATACGGCACTAGTTTACAGAGTTTTATAGGCGGAAAAAAGTGGCGCTTGTCCCGGAAATTTCCCTTAATTTATAGCCGCCGTCTAATCACAAATTCACAATGGGGATTATACTTTGTCTTGGTGTAATTTAATGCCTCTCAGCTGCATTTTTGTTCCATTATTCTCAAGTCTCGAGCATCATCTGATAGTTTAAATAACTAATTTCATAAGCTTTTAAAATACTTCATAATTATCATGTACAAATGCTGTAGGTATTTTTATAGGAGTATAATATAATATAAAATCCTTCAAGTATTTAAGTAATTATACTTTGCAAATTGCAAAACATATATTTATATATCTCAGATGACTACTAAAAATATTTTTTTGTCTTTAATATAAAACATTTACGTTTTTTTAACATTATGTATATTTAAATTTATTAATTATGAAAAATATGTAATGTAAATTTTAAAATTTTTTCATTTAAATAATTATAAAATTTAAAGTTTATTTTATTTTTAAAAAAGTTCATAATTTAACTATCTCTCTTACTTTTCACCGAATGGTTTGAGGTATTTTATATTATTAAAATTAGAGAAAAACAATAATATTCAAATAATTACCTTTTGATCTTGCACTTTATTCATATTTTACTACAGTTTTCTATATTTTTTTAATGTTTTAAATTTTTAAATTTTTATTTTGTAATATTTTATATTTATTTAAGATTCTTATATTTTATTCATTTTATTTATTTAAGAATTCACGGGAGTAAAGTGTAAGGATTAAAATATATATATTTTTTATTAGTTAATTGTATTGTACAAGTTGATGTGGACATCATTATAAAACTTTTGATTATCCAATTAACTATAAGTGTGCTTAAATTAGCGAGGGTCTACATCATGAATATCTCAGATATGATGGATCTTTGCTCTTTATCCCAAAAAAGTAAGTGGACACGCGCTATTTTTGCGATTAAATACGGGCGTAGTAGAGCTGTTGGATTGCTGGGGGCGAATAATTGCAGAGATTGGCGATTGAATATTAATATATTTATGCGACAAATTGCAAGGCCACGTGGTAATGTGGAGGGCACAAGAGTAATAAAATAAGACAACTTTGAAAGTCCCCCACCCACTTCTTTTTGACAAAAATTACCTGTCAGAAATCAACAGCACACAAAGTTAGACTCCTTGGAGTCTTGGACTTGCAAGTTCCAAGCCCAAAAATATTGCTGAGACAAAAATAAAACTTAAGGTCAGCCAGCTCATTTTCCCACCGAGAGTCCAAGACCCATTGGCTTTTATAATTTACATCGTTGAATGAAATTACCCCCTCCTTTCCTATTTACTGGATAATTTTTTAAAAAATATATATATAAAGAGTCGGCTCTGCTAATTGAGCATATATCTTTCCTAAAATATTGATAGTATTAGGTAAACATCTTTCAATTAAATTGTTATATTGAGAGCATTAGTTTTGTTCCTATTCGTAAAAACAATTTGCTTTTGTTTTTTGCCAATACAATTAGCCTTTGTTTAGAGTAATTATAATAAATTTTTTAGTTATGCTCTTGTTAAAGATGGGACATAATAAATGAGCTAACTAGGTCAATTTTTCTGAGTTAAGGGTATTAGTGGAAATTTTTTTATTACATATTTAAAGCTTATTATTAAATTTACCTAGTTTTCTTAGTATTGACAACAAATATATTTTGCTTCTAGTTAAAAAGAACATGGGACTTTTTTTTTTTTGAATGAAAACTCATTTATAAAATCACAACACATGTTTCTCTCGATTATCAAATTGATTTTTTAAAGTTGTTAATAAAAAATTAATTATTATTGTGATGAAAATGAGATTCTCTCTCTGTTTTTTTTTTTTAAATTGGGACTTTTAGTTAAAAGAGTATATATGCGCGAGGAATAGTTTTATCTTTTTATAATAAATTTTAACTATATTTAAATTTCTTAATTTTGCAGAGCAAAATCAGAATTATTTAATTATGCAAAGTAATAAATATTGCCCAGTGATTATTTGTTGTGGTTTTCCCTTTTCTTTTCGTTGGTAATTGCCGACCGCCTGACCTATTAAAGTTTAGCACTTTTAATTTTTTCCTAGTAGTGTATTGAATTTGGTACGATCAAGTGTTTTAAAATGTCGCGGTGAACTACATTCCCATGAAACTTCCTGTGAAGATGATTCTTGTTAAATTATCTAGCTAAGTATGTTTAAGGTAATCTGCCCCACCAAAATAATATAAGCTATTTGATAAGATATATCTCAAGTTTTATATATTTATGATATGTTTTCTAATTTTCAAATGTGAATTTCTTTTTTTTCATCTCTAATATCCTTTCTACTATTTTCTTCTTCATTTTCTTCTTCTTGCTTAAGTTTGCATTAAAAAAAAAAATCTTAAGTGCGTCAAGTCCATTCAATTCTTCTTCTTCTTCTCTCTTTCTTTTTCAAACCCTTGTTCTTCTTCATCTATCATTTTTTTTGCTTTATTATTATTTTTTTTGTTTTTGACCTAATTGAATGGTTATAATACTATGTTAAATTCTTTAATGAAGTATACTTAAGAATAATTTATTTTATTAAAAAATTTAAATCATTTAATTAAATATATCTCAAGTTTTATACATTCATGATATGTTCTTAATTTCTAAAATTAGACTTCTTTCATCTTTAATAATTTAATATGTGTTTAGATAATATCCCAACCAAAGTTGGGTTGGAGTGGCCCAAACTTGAGTTGAGGTGTCAAAACTGATCAGCTCATGTTTGGATTAAAAAAAAAAAACTCAACTATTATTTTGGGGAGAATGAGCGTTTTCCTAGAAGCTACATGAGGTAGCTTTTTAACTGGTGTTAAGTGTGGTGAAAGGCGTGGGGAACATTAATGTTTTTGACATTTTTTTTTCCTACTCTCTCTTCATTTGCAAGTGACCAATTTGTCCTCCTTTGCCTTCACGAGTGTGTCGGTCGTCGTCGGATTCCTTACCACAAATATGACCATAGATTGTGCTTGCTATTGTCGTTGATGTCCAATCTTCTATCAACTATGTTGAGGGAGTTTCTCTCTTCTTCCTCACCCACTCTTAACACTCATCTTGCCCCTGTGTTGAGGAAGTTGCAAGCCGTTGCTATTTGTGGAGTAAGATAACTGAACAATGGTGGAAGACGAGGGTGTGGGCGCACTGGTTGCAATCTAGTGAACCACTGTGACTTTATGAGTGAACTAATACAAATTGTTGTCCTAACCCATTGGGAGTGAACTAGTGCTCATGGTGTCTTCGAGACAAACGAAGACAGTGCAGAGCATGGCAAAGCAGAGGCACATGGAGAAGACAAGGTAAGTAGAGAAGAGAAGGAAGGTGTTGTTGACGGCCAAGGTAAAAACGCTGTAGATAAGGTCGACGAAAGTGGTATCAATGAAAATGTAGCATCAGCGAGATTGGGACCGATGTACTAGGTTAGTTCCGTGGATGTGGAGTACTCCAATTTTCTAAATAATACTTAATACTTAATTTTATTTATACTATTATTCTAAATTTTAATTTAAAGTTTTTTTAAAAGAAGATCAAATCAGACTATTTCGTACATTTTAATTATATATAGACTATGATTTATCATTTCATTCGTATGCTTTTATAATTTTAATTTTTAAAACATTAATTTATTTTTAAAAAATTTAAAAATTTAAGCATAATTAATTCATTCTTTTAGACCTAATTATCATTTCTTTATCATAACTTTTTTTTTTTTAAAGTTTTTATCACTTTTCCTTGCATATGTGTGTGTGAGTGCGTCGGTATGCACATAACGACAGTCTTGACTTGAGTGACGAAACATTTATTTTAAAAATGAGGAATACAATATTACAATTCATGAAATGTTAGTGAGCGAGGGTTTGTAAGCAGTTCAAGGTGAAGGGGGTGGGATTAGTAAGTAATTCTGTTTCATCGCATTAAATATTAAAAAAATATAATTTTAAATTTCTATATTTTATTTACATTTTTCTATAAATATTTATATTTTTTAATATTTTAAATTTCTTTAAGGTCCTTATACTTTGTTCATATAATGACTTAAAATATCAAAAATAAAAGTGTAAGAATTTAAACTACCGAAAAAATATAGATACCTATAATAAAACACGAACAAAGTATAGAGATACAAATTTATGTTTTTCTTTAAATATAAGTGGTTTGATAGTGTATCTCTTAGAGCCAATTGCAGTATTTTATATCAATTGAAAAAATAATGATAATAAAATTTTAATTGATTTTCAAATTTGCTTCAATTACCAATTTAATATCTAAAATTTAATTTGTGTCAATCAAATTTTTAAAATTTTATAACCATATACAATTAATATTATTTCTTCTTCAAATCATAAAAACTAATTATTCTATATTATTCAAACGAATTTTAAAGGCTTGCATGATACCATTATGGCACCAAGGTCATTCATGGTAAGTTTTCTCATTATCAATTAATTTATATTATTATCAAAATTAGAAGACACACAATAAACAAACAGGGCGGCTTTGAAAAAGGAGTGGCGGCTAAGAGAGAACTTTTTGAAAAGCTGTATCCAAGTGGAATAAATAAACATTTCTCAATGCTCTAATGCGCCAAAATTATGATATAAAACTAGATTAATTTCCTGTACATAGTTCGGGAATATTTTAATATTTGAACAATAAAAATAAAATAAAAATACTAAATAATCTAAAAATAATTGACTTATTTTTTATAAGATAATTTATTTTAATATACTTATAATTTATTATCTTATGTAAATTAAAATTTAAATAAAAATTTATTATATTTTAAAATATATTTTATTCATGCACCTTAAATATATAAATAATGACTTTTTTATTTTTATTACAATGTGGTGTCCAATGAATGCTCAGGCCTACCTGCTCCCTGCACTTGTGTTCTTTCTTTCATTAGCATGAGGGAAAATTTTAAAATGGTGTTAAAAATTGAAGTTCTATG